GTAATACAGACAGTGCATTTGGGAATACGAGTGTAATTCATCAATAAGGGCATTTGGGTTTGCTTTGGTGTCTGCCGCAGGTCAGCGGCGATCTGTGGATGCAGGCTTTTTGGTTACTGAAGATATGATCCATCTCCAGGTGAAAGGACTCTCTTTCCAAGAGCTTGTTACAGAGCTCTGCTATTCCTGAAAGGCCTAGATTCTGCTTAAAATTTGGCATAACAGTATCGATTTGGGGCAAGAGTGTTTTTGTTCTGCAGCTATCCTGGATGCAAGTCTGTTGGTTAGGGTACAATGCAATTACAGCATACACTGGTAAAGGGACTTTTATTTGAAGAGTCTGCTAACTATGTATTTGCTGTGCCAATTAAATGCTGTTCTTATATTGACTATATCTTACTAGCACACAGAAAAGTTCAGTCTTCTGAAGTGTTATGACTCTCATCAGTAAGTGCGCTTGGGAGAGTAGAATTTGGGATGCTCTGAAACTTTCTAGGGAAATTTGCGAGAAGAAATCGGAAAACAAAAACTTCAAAGCTCGGATAAGTGTATTTAGGTGAAGGTTGACTCTTTAGAGATACAGTGCGAAGGGAATGACTCCAGGTTTGGGCAGTTTACTTATAGCTTTATATGTGCTCTTTCCTCCTTTTCTTCCCCTCAGATGTCCAGATTTTCAAAGTTGTTGGGCGACTGAAGACCAGTATATCTGTCCTCCTTGCTTGCCATGATACAGATACGCAACTAGGAGACAACGTGAATGTGGGAATTGATGAATTTATATTTATAGTTGGCCTTATATCATATTCCTAATAGAGTTCCTGATGCAGCTTCGTGTTACACTTAATCTGTTCCAGTGACAGGCTATTGTATGCTTCTGTCTCTCTTAGTTCAGATCTAGTAATCACATGACCTTGGGATGAGTGGTTTTACCCCACTGCTCTGATGGAAAATGAACAGAGTAACTTGCTAGAAAAAAAAGGTTGTTGGTTCAGCAAGCTGAGACTTACTCATATAGAACCACAGGAGTGCCAGTTATGATGCAGTTGAAGAAGTGGGCAGTGGTGGATGGGGCAGAGAAGGGGAAAGTCCTGTTCAGTGGTGTCCTGTAGTTATACTGCATAGGAAATTGTAGTTTCTGTCAACTCTCCAAAGTTGATCTGAAACTATTCAATGACTGAACGGGTTGTTCTGCCCATCCATCCCTTTCTTCAGTTCTCGCCTCCCTTACCTTGGCTCTGGCTGCTGACAGTTGGAGGGCAAGTTGGATTGGTTAGCTGATCATACAGGAAACGTTGTTGTTGTTGTTGTTGTTGTTTTTTCAATTACAAATCAGGTCAAATCAGGTGTCAGTAGGAAAGAGCAGGAGGGGAGAGTGGGACGACTTCTTCTGGTGGCAGTGCCGGCTTACTGCAGAACTGCATTATTGCAGGACTATGCTGTGCGTGATGCTGCTGCTGAAGGGATACAGAAGTCTCTCAGAATGGTTATATTCTTGACGTGACTAACCATAACGTTTTTGTACAAACAATCGCTTCATTCCATGTACTTCAGAAATACTGATTTCATCTACGTCAAAGATATTTTCCAGGGAAAGAAGTGCTTTATTTTTAGACATTTTCTTAAGAGCAGCTTCCTATAACGTTAAGAAATTTCGCTAGTTCACAGTTCACATATGACCCATTTGGATTGACCCTCTTGTGACTCATGTCCTGTTTCTAGCAAGGAATGGTATTTTGTTAATATACATTTATTTACGCAAATCTAAATAAACCTAAGTCCTAGGATACCTTCTGTTCTTACGGAGCAGAAGGAGAAGTGAAAAGGCCAAGTGCTGCAACGTTAGTTGAATTTGTACATTGGTTAATGACATCTATATGACAGTCTATATAATTTGAATATTTTCAGGATGATGCTGTTAGTATTGAAAGTGGTACTAACACTGAACGCCCTGACACCCCGACAAACACTCCTAATGCACCAGGAAGAAAAAGCTGGGGGAAAGGAAAATGGAAGTCAAAGAAGTGCAAATATTCCTTCAAATGTGTAAATAGCCTAAAGGTATGTATGTGTGAACTTCAGCATGGGAGAGCTGGATGCCATTTGCTGCCAGTGATGTTAATGTTTGTGAGAAGAGTGTGATATTTTAAAATATCTTTATGTAATTATGTTCCATGCTTATCTGAAGAAAATATCTTTCTTGTTTTGAATAAACAAAGCTTTAAAGAAAAAGAATACTGAGAAATAAGAATCAGTAGAAGGTGATGTAATTGGCCCAATTTTGTACAGTTTTGCAACATTACACATGCTATTTTATAATTATATATGTCATTGGCGCTGCAGTTACTTGAGATAGTGAAACAAATTGAAATAAAGTAAAAGCTGTGACAACTTGATGTAGAGTACTGAACTAATACAGAATTTTTCTACCAGTTGAAATATATTAAAAATAGAGCCTTACAGCCTTGGAGTACCTTTTTCCTTGCTCTTATCAGAACAAAGACTTTCTGTCATCAAGCAATTACCATAAATGTTGCAGAGTGTGATCTGGTTAATTTACCAGGCACCTGATCTAGATCCCACTTAATACCACCAGGTATTATGTGAGAATTTAAGGGATGTGGACCCATTGCCTGTACTCCTTGTGTTCTAGATTTTTTTTTTTTTCTTCTGCACTGGTCACAGACCATGGAGAACTAAATGAGTTGGTTTCAGTTTGATCCTCTTGCATTAACAGGATGTTGTTCTTTCTTTCCTCTTGTGTGGGATATTTACATGTCAAAAGCTGTAATATGCCATCTGATCTGATTTTTATAAGATTTCTAAATAAAAGAAACAATGGGTCTGGAACAAGATGGGAGCTTTGCTAAACTTTGTATATATAGCTCACAAGAGGGTGCGGGCAGATCTATCATGGGTATTTCCAGCAGAGTTGCTTTAAGAGGTTTTGTCGTTCTCCCACACTTTTAACTATTGAGCTGTGCTAACATAGCTATTTCTGAACTCGTGCTTCAGACTGCCTCACTGAAATGATGGGGTAGCTGAGCTGGAGTGGATGAGAGGTTTGGAGCGTGGAAACCTCCTACAGTAGCTTTACTGCTGGAGAAATTGTGATATGAAGTTACACTGACAAAAGTGTCTCGGAAAGTAAGTCGATCTTTGTGTCTTTTTTGATGTTTAATGAAAAGTTATCTCTGCTCTTTCAAGGTGGAGGAGGAAGGGAAGTTCTTTCGTTTTCACGTAGGTAGACAGCTGCTCCTGTTATTCACACCAGTCGCCCCCACAGATAGTGTTCTTTTTGTGGCATCATGTCATGCTTCTAACGCAGACGTAGGCCTCTGTGCACCCAAACACTGAGCAGCTTTTGAGTTTCGTTACGCACATTCGTTTTCCATCTGCAGACTAAGTATCCCTACGTGGCTAGTACTTTTCAGGTCTCTTCTGGAAAAACAGAACACACTACCCCCTTACTTAAACTGAGGCCCCACTATAGGGTGACCCAAAAGGCCAGCTTATGTAGTTAAGCGTTCCCTGACTTCCCTGGAATTGAATCAGGGCCTAGGAACAGATTGCTGTGCAAGTTAATCAATCTGTGAGAGAGTAAACGTGCAGTTTCAGCTAAGTGAGATATTTTTATTATCTCTTTTTTCTCATTTCTCTTTGAACTGAAATTGAGACATATTAATAGGAAGACTAGAAAGCAGCCATATTTGGTAACTCCTCTTTGCCTCATATTTGAGGAAGCCTCTGTAATTTTCTTTTTCCTGTTCTTCCATACTGATTTTGCAGATACTGAATATTGTATATGGGTTGGGAAAGACATTCATGATTCTTGTATGTCACGTCTTGTATCATATAGTTTATACTTTGTCTTTGAAGTATGCTGTAAGGTGTATGTATTAAAACTTATGAAAAGTCAACACAATTTAAAGGCATGGAAATTTATTCTTTAGGGATGTGTGGATTATGTTGTTTCTACTTTCCTGCTCGTTTCCACCATCTTCCCCCTCCCCCCCCCTTTTTTTTTTTAACAAGATTTTTTCATAGGGGAAAAAAAAAATATGTCCATTCCTG